AATCAGAAAGTGGGAAGTACCCTGAAAAGCTGGAACATACATGTAATAGAGTAAAAAGTACACAATTTCCCCTCTGTGACGCAAGGCAGTTTAGTAACAGTAGTTACAGCTTGTTACATGGAATAGCTGAGGAAGAGGCACCTGGTTGGATACCGCCGTTAAACATGACATGAACGAGGAAGGGAAGGTACTCACATGACTCGTCAGAAGTCACACTGGGGTATCCGTCACATTCAGAGTCAGGTGATGTGATCCACACCTGCAGCTCGGACAGATCAGAGGGATCTGATCGCCTGTTGTTTTTGCTCCACCACTGCTTTTTAGCGCTGCCGAACATGTACTCATAATACCTGCAGAGAGAGACCGCACGAGGGTGGAAACTGGCCCCTGAACGCAACACGGGCTGCGGTGTTGAGATTTCGCCACATATATAAATAATGTGCAGCGATTTAAACAAATAAATATAAAAACAGCTTATAAACACAGCTGCTCACCTCCTGTATGCGCTCTGTAGGAGACTGCAGCTCGGTCCAGCGGACGATGCTTTGGCATCAACAATCCTGAAGCTGCTACTGGTTAACTTGAATGAAACCTCTGAAATCTGCACTTTCTGCGGCAGAGGCCACAGGGAGCCGTACTTTGACGCCTCGAAAACGGGCTCGGCCTCAACATAGTCGTCGATGTTGTTGTGCTGCAGGCCCTGGCAGAAACTAAGGGCCAGCAATAGCGACACGAACTTCAGCATTACTGTTTTGTTGACAAGTTACAGTCAAGTCACAAGACCTTGCGACAGCAGCACTTTTATTTTGCGAGAGGGGGCGGGACTTCCATGCGGAAGTCAAATTTAACAGAAATTTAAAGAGAAACCACAAACCTGCCTACTCTCTTGAAAAGTACAATGTATCGTATATTTACTCAGCCAAATCATCGAGTCGGGTCCAGTATGAATGAAATGTTATTGAAGTAAGCTGATTTACTAATGCTAAACTATTACAAAGTACTCAGAACAATCAGCATGAAGCTTGGTGAGAAAATGATAGCTGTTTGTGTGATTATTCAGAAATGGAAGACATACAAAATGACAATGAATCACCTTTGATGTGGAGCTCCATGCAAGATCTTGCTTCATGCGGTGAAGATCATCATGAGAAAGGTGGGGGTCACTCGACCCGCCATGTTTAGAGGAAGAGAAATGCTGAGTATAATCTAAAGAACACCCTCCCCACAGTCAAGCATGGAGGTAGAAGCATCATGCTTTTGGGTTGTTTTTCTAATAAGGATACAGGATGACTTCACCATTCAGCCAGAACACTGAAGCTGGATCACGGATATGTCTTCCAGCACGACGGTGACCCAAAACATGTCATAAAATCAACAAAGGATCGGCTAAAGAAGAAGCACATTGATGTTATTAGTTTAGTTTCCAGGAGATTCTAGTTTATTCTGCCACAATAGGCAGGCCGTCATGGCAGCTGCGTTTTTAATAGTTTCTCTGCTTTTACTTTTGTATTGTGTAAGTCAAAAGCACACTACATTATTGTGACATCAGGTTTCTGACTTGGCCTTTTAACAATATTCCGTTTTTTTCTTTCTTTGACTTAAAAAGAAGGTTTTTTCACACTATGTTTTGGGATAGCACCTAAATGTACAGTATGCTTTGCATCACGAACCTACCTTTCTGTTTAAAAAGAAAGACACCAAACTTTGACCAGTATGTAAATTATACCTTATTATTCTATTATCTAGATTATGTGAATGTGTTTACAGCCTAAAGTGAAGTGTGTGAATTTACATACAACTTGCCATCGGGTATATTTGCTTACTCATTTCTAACTGACGTGCTTGGCTGCTAAAGTTAGTGCTAAACAAGAACAACAGGTTTTACTGTGTATCTTTGACAGCCCACATGACAGGGTAATCTAAAAAACCGTAACATAACTAGCTCTTTCCATGCTTATTCGTCCATTAATTACTTTTAAACACAAGAACCCCAAACTGAAAGAATAATATGCAGATTGGAGCATTTATTTAACTCACAAATGATAAAAATATAGGCAGACACTTTGGGTAAAACAGTATTTGCATTGTCATTTGGTCATTTTAACTCATCACTGATGCTTCCTTTCAACATCTACTAACCACAGTGTTATTCAGCTGTGTGAGGCCAATACAAATGTTTTTTTGTTTCTCATGTCATATAAAGTATTTTATGCCATTGGATTGATGGCTTTGCTCCTAAATATGGCACATCATTTTGTTATCTATATATGAATCGACAAATAACAGTATGATCCCTGCTTTAAAGAAATTGGTGTATAGTATTCAGAATACCATTTTACTACAATTAGAATAGACAAATAAATCTACCAAACACCACATGGACTTGATCAATACACTATGTAGTTGAATATCTACCACTTGTAACCACTTGTATAATGGCATATCAATAATTAGAGGTATGCCATCATACAACATAGCATACCACTTTATCTATCCATGAAGCCAGATAGGACACAACAATTAGTTAAACTGCAGGAATGTCTTAAAGACATAAACACCATGGATGGCCTCTAATTTTCTGCTTCTAAATTCACATAAAACTGAGGTTATTGTACTCAGCCCTAAAAATTGTAGAAATATGGTATTTAACCGGATACTTATTCTGGATGGCATTATGGTGGCCTCCAGTAACACTGTGAGGAACCTTGGCGTCATTTTTGACCAGGACATGTTCTTTAATGGACATATTAAACAAATATGTGGTACTGCTTTTTTGTATTACCGTTATATCTTTGAAATTATGAATATCCTGTCTCAGGATGACGCTGAAAAACTAGTTCATGCATTTATTACTTCTAAGCTGGACTATTGTAATTCATTATTAGCAGGATGTCCGAAAAACTCCATGAAAAGCCTTCAGTTGATCCAAAATCAAGAGTACTGGCAGGGACTAGAAAGAGAAAGCATATTTTGCCTATATTGGCTTCCCTTCATTGGCTCCCTGTTAAATCCAGAATCAAATTCAAAATCCTGCTCCACATATAAAGTCTTGAATAATCAGGCCCCATCTTATCTGGATGACCTCATAGGGCTGTATCACCTCATTGGGGCACTTTGCTCTCAGACTGCAGGCTTACTTGTGGTTCCTAGAGTATTTAAAAGTAGAACGGGAGTCAGAGCCTTCAGCTTTCAGGGCTCTCTTCTGTGGAACCAGCTTCCAATTTTGTATTAGGGAGACAGACATCCTCTCTACTTTGAAAATGTTAGGGCAGGATCAGGTGAGCCTGAATCCTCCCATAGTTACGCTGCAATAGCTGCTGGGGGATTCCCATGATGCACCTTTTCCACTCACCATGTCTTTATACACCTCTCTGCATTGAATCATTAGTTATTATTAATCTCTCACAGCAAGAGGATTCTGTGTTGGAGTACCAGGAGTTCTCTCCAGGTCCTCCAGTTTCCATCCATGCTAGCATATGTGTGCAGGGTGTACCCACCTTTCACTCTATGGCATCTGGGACAGGCTCCACCTTGAAGCTTCATGTAAAGTAGTATTACCTAATGGTGATTTGTTAGTGTATGTATTATCAACTTATAGAAAGTACAGTAAAGGGATATCACGTTAGCTTGGACCTCTGACCTCTTCTTCAAGGTCATATAAGGTCAAATTTTCACAAGTGTTGAGAATGAGCTGCTTAGTTAGGAATATACTGTAATATAAAGTTATTCAGTTATCCATTGTCTACTCCTATATAATGTTTGTATAATAAAGAAAACATATGTCATGCTACATTTACCTGATTTTTACTGCACTACAAACTTCTTACAAGTGAGCAAAGAAACAATACAAAAACCTGTTTGTCTGCTAGTCTGCTGTTGACAATAATTAATTATTTGACAATAATAATTATTGGCAAATATATTAAATTGTCATTATTTGGCGACAATTATGCTGCCAAATAAAGTAGCATCCTGCACATAACAGGCCTACTTGCATGACTTTGCCCACTAGGTGTCTCTCTTGCCATACACAAAGTCCATGTTAGAGCGCAAAGACGTTTCTTTTCAACACTTTTCAGAGTGTACTTCCCTGGTGAACAGTATGCTGCGTTATCCTCAGCATAAACCGATTGTTCGGTTTTCATCAACAGTCGATGGGAAAGGGAACTGGGCGTGAGTTCTCAACAGCTCTGTGGCCACCACACTGCACATCAAAAACAAACAAACCAAACAGCAACATCACAGCCTCGAGGATCCTCTGAAGAGTTTAGTCACAGCCAAATGCACCGTCAACGAGCACCGCAGATGTGACTCACACAAGATGCTCACAGATAAAATTGGACTTCCCGTTCCCAGCTCTCCCCCCTTTTACTAAAAACCACAGAGACCTTTGTAATCCTATAGGACCTGACACTGGCTCAATGTGACTCAGTCAGACTTTGTGGCATTTCCTATATGTTATTGTTTCACAATGTCTTGGAGTGGCTAAAGTCTTGAGTCCACAAAGCACAACACCGGAACAATACCTTTAATTTTCTCTTGGCTCTTCTGTCACAATGCTGGGTGGATCCTGTTTGGTCTTCTGAGGAACCACTAAACCATTACGTGGACTGCTGCGACGCAGATCCTGCACACTGTATCAGCATTTTACTAAAGCATTTGCCTTTCAAACCAAGTTAAGCACCGCTCCTATCCACGCAGCCTGCTTAGTAGTTACTTTGTAGAAAGATTTAGAGACATATATATATATATATATATATACAGATACGTTAATCATATGATTACGTTAATCATGCATTAGACTCCTCTAATGCATACTTTATTAAGAGTCTGAACGGTCAGAAAGTCCTTTAAAAAAGAAAAAAGAAAACTTTAACTGAACTCATCTTTAGCGATTACTTGGTAATTATCTTACACAGTGGGATGGTATGGTACATGTTCTCTTTCCTTCGCTCGGTTTCGTGCGCGAGGTTACGGTCCTCCCAGTTCCCACTGTGGACACACCCACTTGTTTCAGTGAGAGAGAAGTGGGAGCGCAGGAGAAGGAGGAGGACACATAGGATTCAGTCACACAGCAGCAGCAGCTTTAGAGGAGCTCATCCAAACATCTCCGCTCATCCTTCACATCACAGCTACCATCTATTGATACCCGGCTGCCCAGAGGTCCATTGAAGCCTCGGTAAACTACCTGTAACTCACAATCGGCGTGGATCTCGACTTAGTATTCCGTGACCTTTCGGATATAAATCCCACGGAGTTGCACTCCCCGAGCGTAAGGCTTGCATCGTGGCTCTTGTAGAAGTGGCATGTTCGAGGGAAACTCCGGGCACAATTGAACTCCTGCTTTCACCCAAAGAGGTAAAACAAAATAAAGCATAATAATAATACTGATTATAATAATGATGATACTAGTAATGCTAAACCACCTCACTGCATCATGTTAAAGCGTGTGGCTCGATTGTTACATAGTAACTACGAATGCATCCCCCTTCTGCTCCAGGATGGAGCATTAGGAAGCGCAACAATGTTTACATTCGCTGATCACGTTCAGGTTCATTTTACTGATTTATTGATTTATCGATAGCTGATCTCCCCTCGGTCGTCTGCGTTCATGTCCTCAGCTGTTTCCTTGCACATTCGTGCATGCTGGGGATGTTTTGCTTGTTTAAAATGCGACATCAGATGTGACACGCTCTTCTCGACGTTACAAAGCCATGATTTTAATTTATTTAATTAGGTTTTTTTGTTTGTTTTTTCAATTGTACGGCGTTTGTTTGTGCATTTAGACTTGAGATCGTACATTTCGATCTTCAACACTGAAGAAGCAGGCGAACACATCTATAGCTCATTGCTCTTTCCTCTTGTTTTGCATCTTGCTTCAATTACCGCCCCCACTCACCGAGTGGCAGATGTACAGAACGAGGTCCACATAAGCTCCGGTGTTTACTTTTGAAGTGACTCCCCTCCCATCCCTCTTCCTGAGTCCATGGTTGACTGTGAACACCTGGCAATGATTTTTAAACAGGCTGTAGTCAGCCAGGCCCTGGCTCGAGTCCAGTGGCTGCATGTGCATGTCCTTTAACTGTGTGCTTTCTGAGTGAGGCGTGTAGTGTGGGCTTTCTGGGCTGTGTGCTCGGTGTGTGGATCTGATTTCTGTGAGGGGTGGGATGAGGAAGACATCTCTCTCTCCCTCTCTCAGCCACCGAGCCAACCACACATCTTGGCACTGCTGGCATTTCTTCCTGTCTGGACCCTTTGGTGTACTGACTGTGGTATTATAATAGAGGGAAGTCCTCCAGAGCAGCGTGGAAACCTCAATGCTGATAAGCTGTCACAAATTATTATTTTAGTCTAGTTGTTTGTATTAACTTGTGCAACAGAGATATTTGCTTTATTATACCACAAGCTGTCACATATTGTAATGGTCATCAAAGGGTTTGTGTTTGAAATTAGGCTGCATTATCTGCACATTTGCGGTAAATTGGGCACCACCTTTGCAACTGTGAGTCTTTCTCTCCACTGTCCTTAAAAATAAACTATAAAAATGACCACTTTGTAAAAGAAATAGAAATATTAATGGCACAGCAGAACTTCTCAGTACTCACAGCAATGTCTTTTGTTCTTTCTGACCAACAGTACAAAACCTTCAGGAATTTTCTCACCAATTTGGTTTGAATGGAGGCAGGGCGGGGACTTAAACTACTTGAGGTTGAACCTCTTTGTAGGTTATGTTAATAAAGTTTCATTAACCTAAAAATCTTTGCTACTTTGCTTTGTCATGAAGCTATGAATAAGTAGGAGGAAGAATGTTGCGCAAAGAAAAAAGAGTCAGAAACATCAGATAATCAGATAAATTATGGTATGAAAAACTTGAGTCACCAAAGAGGGAAGTGCATGTTTCCCAACATGTTATGTAAATGTTGTCATTTGCTTATTATTATTATTATTTTTACTTTGAAATTGATTATATTTTCCTATATTCTCATGGAAAATGCACAAAATCCACCTTGTGCAGATTGCGTCTGCAGATGTGAAGATGTGTCCAGGAGTTTGTTCTCATTTAGAGCAGGAGTAAGACAGCCTGCATTAGTTCATAGCCGAAAAGGGTTTGTCAGTTTAATCCTAGCTTTGAAATAGTTTTCCTTTTGCATTCCGCTTGTAACTTCCATGTAATTTACAGTTTCCAGACAGCTGTCAGGAATTTTTACAGACTTGTCACACTCGTGATGTTTGAATGCGCCCTGTGCCTGTGCCCTGTGGATGATGAGATTAAGCAAATTTAAACAGTGATACAAGTTATCTAATTTCCTCTGTAATCAGTGCTTAAGATCAAAACAAGAGAAACGTGCTTATGTTTCAGAGGTTAGTCTAAGTTTAAGCTTATAATCAGGAAGCAAATCCAACACTTTTAAGCGTAAGTGCAGTCTTCAATTATTCTTTCTCGTTGCATTGTCTAAGATTTGTATAAAACTTTTTTGTTTTTTTTTATTTATTTCTATTTTGAATCTAGCCGTGCTTGTATATGTCACAGACGGGTTTCGGGACCAGCTGCTTGAGCTGGTAATCCAGGCTTTACCCTTTAATATGCAAATAGTTGAGGCATGTGGTTTACTGATCTTTTCATTGTTCACCTTTCCCGCACTCCCCAGTATGCGGGCGTGAGTGAGCACTTTCGTTTGACAACAGGGAAAATGAAGATTGTGCAAACAGATCACCTTTGGTAATTGTGCTGGCCACCAGTGTTGTTTGGAGGAATGAGTGCATTGCAGTGAGATTAAAATGGAAAAGCTGTGTTATGCTTTGCTATTTTATTGCCACTAAATGATTTGTTTGGCAAAAGAACAGAGACGGTTAGCAGCTCAGCTAAGTGTCTATCATTTACTGGTAGACTATAATTAGCTTGTAATCATTTTGCTACCTAGTATGAAGCTAAATTATTGGACTAACTGAAGTGTTCATCTGCCAGCTCCAGTGCCTGAGAGTACCAATGGTTCTATTTATTAATATGCCAATGATTAACAAGTGTGAAACCTCTTCATTTTAGCGCCTGACTTATAAGGATCACATATTTAAATCAAGTCACTTACAGCCTCCAGTTAGAAACCCTGAGCTGCAATGTGTCCGTGTGTGTGTGTAGCATGTGACGTGTGCAAGGAGATTAGGTGAGGATGTTCTCCTTACAGATGAGCCAGAGGCCAGGAGTTGACAGGTTGCCAGTTTTGTCACTGCAGGAATGCAGTAAATCCTGTTCAACCGGTGGCGGTTGGTTTTGGGTTTCATTAACTTGTGATAAATAAGATTCTTCCTCTTTATACAAAGACGTGGAACGGCTGTGCACAGGCATCGCTGTCCTTTGAGCTGTGCGCTGACATCCCTGTGCGAACATGTTCAAAGGGACAAAGCCCAGAATCATTAGGATTCATCCTCTGAGCACCCTGAATGCCAAAAAAATAAAATCAAAATTCATAGCTGTTCATTCAGTATGCATTGAGATATTAAGCCCAAGGTATGAGAGCCACTGCTCACCAGAAATCCCCACTGGACTTGCATTCATACCTGCAGGGATTGGGCTTGATTTCCTATTCATGAGACTGCATTCTGAGGATTTTGGAACAGATGATGCAACTTAGCGAAAATGGAAACTGTCCTTAGCTCTCTGTAGCTTTCTGTTTTTTGAAGAGGAGTCATTTATGACAGCAAGGAACTTTTGAACTCTTTCACTCTTGAAGTGAAAATCCTATCATTCGAACATCAAATGCTCGCCACCTGTAGGTTTGTAAAACATTTGCTTGCTGACAGAGCTTGACCCCTTTCAGCTACAATAGATTTCACTTCAGGAGAGCCTTTGAAATGCAGAAAAGTGTGTATATATATATATATATATATATATATATATATATATATATATATATATATATGACTTCCTTTAAGCGTTGAACCTCCATAGAAATTCAGTTTTTATTAAACGTCTACATCTGTTTTATACCTAGCATATAAATGGAAGTCTGTTCCTTCTTCTGAAGCATTTTATTGATGTTTTTTTTTTCTTATTGAGCCATCAGAACTTTTTAATCATTATAATTCACAGCAGCTGTCAGGTTGTGGAGCTATTTGCAGTCAAGAATGAAATTACAAAACCATTAGAAACAAGCCCAGTCCTGTTTTTGTACTAAAACCTACCCTTACTACTAGGATTAACCAGCCTTCTATCAAATTCTATCAAGACCGATAGACTTAGGGGCAGGCTGACAACTTAAAATGTCTGTCAGCTGTGGATTTACTGGGTCAGACAGAGACTTGGTCCCTCTGTAAATAGAGTGCAGAAGGCACTTGACATGTCTAGAAATTGGTTGGAATAAAAGCGAGCTGTGAGCGAGCACAGGGCGAAGACAGTGAAGATGGGAGCTGTGATTTTCTGGGAGGAGAGTGCATTTCTCAGAGGCTTAAAAGAGCCCCACTGTCTCTTTCTTTTTCCCTTTTCATGAAGAATCCTCTGCAAAGGGAAACGTCATTGTTAATCGTGGCATCTCTGAAAGAGGAGGATTAGCATTGCTCAGAGCTGCAAGGCCTTGCAGTCTCTGCAAGAACACAATTGTTATCTACTCGACCTTCAGAACCCTCAGATTTATGCTGTTTTGTAATTTGTAATCACTTGATCTCTTTCTGAATATCTTGATCTCTTGGGAAGGATTGAGATTCCTCCTCCAAAAATACATTTTACGTTTTTTTTTTTTTTTTATCTCATTGTGGATATCAGTGCCCAACAATGTAATATATCAGCATCAACATCACCACATAGTGCATCCACTGTATTCACTTCACTAAACCTACATTTTTATGACTAATTGTACAGGACAAACAGTTTGTTTGCACTGTAAAGCTCCTGATTAATAGCTACTACATGCCCCATTTTTCAACATAAATTGCATCTAGCTTTAAATTTTAGTGGATGTGTTTAAAAGGTTAAGATACACCATATTACAGACTATTTGAAGACGGAAGATACACATTGTGGGAAATGTTGCATTGGTGAATAATAATTATGTGTAGTGGGCTTCAAATGTGCAGTGCATTGATGAGAGATTTTTCTTTATCTCTTTCATTTTAGGATTCAATGAAAATGTCCGTGTGCGTCCATGAGAACCGAAAATCGCGAGCCAGCACCGGCTCCATGAACATCTACCTTTTTCACAAGTCCTCCTATGCCGACAGCGTCCTTATGCACCTCAACTCGCTGCGGCAGCAAAGGCTTTTCACCGACGTCTTGCTCCATGCTGGCAGCCGCTCCTTTCCCTGCCACCGCGCAGTGCTGGCTGCCTGCAGTCGCTACTTTGAGGCCATGTTCAGCGGTGGCCTGAGGGAGAGTCAGGCCAGTGAGGTTGACTTCCGTGATTCGATCCACCCGGAGGTTTTGGAGCTCCTGCTGGATTACGCTTATTCATCACGGGTGGTCATCAATGAGGAGAATGCAGAGTCGTTGTTGGAGGCTGGGGACATGTTGGAATTTCAGGACATCCGGGATGCCTGCGCAGAATTCTTAGAGAGAAACCTTCACCCATCCAACTGCCTTGGCATGCTTCTGTTGTCAGACGCCCATCAGTGTACCAAGCTGTCAGAGCTCTCCTGGGGCATGTGCCTCAGCAACTTTCCTGCTATTTGCAAGACGGAGGACTTCCTCCAACTGCCCAAAGATATGGTGGTGCAGCTTTTATCACATGAGGAGCTAGAGACAGAAGACGAGAGACTGGTTTACGAAGCTGCTCTTAACTGGATCAACTACGACTTGGAAAGGAGGCACTGCCATCTCCCGGAGCTCCTGAGAACGGTTCGCCTTGCGCTATTGCCTGCCATCTTTTTAATGGAGAACGTCTCTACCGAAGAGCTAATTAACTCCCAGGCCAAGAGCAAGGAGCTGGTGGATGAAGCTATTCGCTGTAAGCTGAAAATCCTGCAGAACGATGGCGTTGTTAACAGCCCATGTGCTCGACCCAGAAAAACCAGCCATGCCCTGTTTCTTCTGGGTGGCCAGACTTTCATGTGTGACAAGTTGTACCTTGTGGACCAGAAAGCCAAAGAGATCATCCCAAAGGCTGACATCCCCAGTCCACGGAAGGAGTTTAGTGCCTGTGCAATTGGATGTAAGGTGTACATCACTGGTGGCAGAGGCTCAGAAAATGGCGTGTCCAAAGATGTTTGGGTCTATGACACTGTCCACGAGGAATGGTCAAAGGCGGCACCCATGCTGATTGCCAGGTTCGGCCACGGGTCTGCAGAGCTGAAACACTGTCTCTACGTCGTAGGTGGTCACACCGCAGCGACAGGCTGCCTTCCAGCTTCTCCATCAGTGTCTCTCAAACAGGTGGAGCAGTTTGACCCCGTGGCAAACAAGTGGACAATGGTAGCTCCTCTGAGAGAGGGTGTGAGCAACGCAGCAGTAGTTAGCGTCAAACTCAAACTCTTTGCTTTCGGAGGAACCAGCGTCACCCACGACAAGCTGCCCAAGGTGCAGTGCTACGATCCGCAGGAGAACCGATGGACCGTGCCTGCATCCTGCCCTCAGCCATGGCGCTACACAGCCGCCGCTGTCCTGGGAAACCAGATCTTCGTCATGGGCGGAGACACAGAGTTCTCAGCATGCTCGGCATACAAGTTCAGCAGCGAGAGCTACCAGTGGACAAAAGTGGGTGATGTGACTGCCAAGAGGATGAGCTGCCAGGCTGTGGCATCAGGGAACAAACTCTATGTGGTGGGTGGGTACTTTGGCACACAGAGGTGTAAAACTCTGGACTGCTATGACCCCACACTGGATGCGTGGAACAGCATAACTACAGTGCCATACTCACTCATTCCTACTGCTTTTGTCAGCACCTGGAAACATCTACCTGCTTGAGTTCAGAACCCTCTACATGCACCCTTTCCATTAGGTAAGATCGTGCTCCTGATACCTTTGATTTTACGTGCCTTGTGGAGTACTGGTATTATGCGATATATGAGAACAGTTGTATGAAGCAGGTTTTTTTTGTTTCAGTTGGAGCTGTAAAAAAATCCAATAAATTGCCTGAAGTAACTGGAAATTTAACTAGAAATACGAAAAAAAAAACCACCTCAGCAGTACACTTCCCTTCTGTTTGAGACTAGCACCTCGAGGCTATGTTAGCCACTGCTATAAGACACCTGACTCTTTGACAGCTCTGTCAGCATTCGTGTTTGATCTAGGGCAGTCCAAGGGTCGGGTTTTCCCAAGGGAAATCATACAGTTTGATCCTTTTTTAAGAACCCTCCATCACAAATCTGACAGTGCTACACTAAAGCGATTCTTTGAAGCAACCTTTGAAGGGTTTGACAGTTTTTGGTAGTATAAACACTCAGTATTGAATTGCATTATTAATGTTTTACCCCTGTATAGATGTATGTCTATGTGAATTGCATTTAGAGTTTGAAGTATCATGATTTTAAAGTTAAAAAGAATTCAGGCCTGTAACATGATGCAATTTTTCACTCTGTTAGGCTTTTAGATTTTCACAATAAGAGTTATACTGGCACGATAAGTGGAGTGGAGGGCAGACCAGTGGGGGATTGATAGGGCTTGTGTGCTTTAGTTAAGTGAGTTATGCGGCTGCGGGGATGGGCCGAAGGACAGAGAGGGTAATTGAAAGAGAATAGGATACTTTTATTGCTCCTGTGGGGGAAATCTCTCTAAGAGGGAAAAGGGGGTCTGCCAATTAGACAAGCTCCACACCAGCAGGCTGCAACACCCCAGCGCGGATAATCCACTCTCAGTTGCCTTCCTTTGATGAGGTTATGGTCTTTACACTGGGTGAGAGGGAGGTGGCCGGCGACTCACGCAGTGTCGGAAACCATTCATCATCAGCTACAAGATGAGGCGACTGCGAGAAGTGGCAGCGAGGGACATGAGGAGGCGTTGTAAAGCTAGACGGCGTGAGACCTACCCCTCAGCCCACTCAAACACACACCATCCTTCATAGTAGTGGCCTCGCTCTGAAAATTTACGGTCTCTTCCGGTTCCGTCTGTGCCTTCCTGGTCTTATTTTTAACTACGGTCTCCGGCTCTGATGGTAAATAGGCTGGACGTATGTGGAGCATGGGTAGTGAGCTGGCAAACCTGATCTTTCTGTGCACTGCAGGCTGGAGGGTCATGATCACATCACATCAGACAATCACTGCAACCTACTCCGATGCCCACGCACACATAGCCTTGCAGACAGTCTTTCATTTTTCTCTATTTTTTTCTGAAATGGCTAGCAGGTATGAATGCAAAGTACTGACATACACAAACGGTGTCCCACTTGATAATCCCAGGAAACTGCTCGGAGTGGCATCACTGCTATAAGGCTGTGATGTTCCTCTTCTTTACTGGATGAAATATTTTGCATTGTTTCTTTTTTTTTTGTGACTTGTCTCTGAAAGAGAGACTGAAGGCCTGAACTATCTGTAAGCCAGCGCAATAAAATGCTCAGTGAAGTGAATAATCCTGCCACTAATTTAATAGAGAATTTGTTTTTTTTCTGTGTCTGCCTGTCATGGCAACTGACAGTCTACTCAATGAACGCGGTGAAAAGATGAAATGTGGAGGAATGGAAAAGAAGGCTGACTGTTTAGGAATAAAAGGAGAATGAAGGATGTTAGACCTCACAGGAGGAGATTGTAGCTGTGAGGGGAAAAACGAAGTTTGCAGTCTTTTTCTCCCAGGGGAAAATTCCTAACTCCTCTTTGAGTTCTCCTTTTTTATTTTCTCAGAAAGCTGTTAGCAGGGAAAAATGGTTGAAGAATTACCACCAAAATGCCTAATGTGAGGCATAACAGAATCATTTTAGGCCTCAGTCTTTGTATGGGTGAAGCGAATATAATGGTTGATGGCTTTTGTTAGCATCAGATGAAGCCACGCTAGCTTTTTCTCAATTTTCCACAGTTAGCTGCTAAGCTAAACTAAGATAAGATAAGCTAAGCTAATAATCCCATCTTTTAGAACATGTCAGAGTAATCAGGCTTCAAACAACAAACTATTGACATAAAAGTAAACAAATGGAGATCACACAGTATCCACTGCTTTAAATACTCTAGCAAATCTGTGTTAATCTCTGGACTAAAACAAAACTCAGGACTCCAGTTTTCTGACTACTAATAATTTTGAACAGAAATCCAGTACTTAAATAGGTTTCTGGATCTGAAGGTACACAACAGCACTACCCATACGGGGAGAGTGTAACACAGACATATACTCATATGCACTTCACTCATCTCTTTTCACTCTCTGTGTGTTTATGCACTACTTTGCATTTAATCACGAGTTATTATTATTAGTTTCTTCCTGTTAAAAAGGGAGTTTTTCCTTCCCACTGTTGCCAAGTGCTTGCTCATAGAGGGTTGTCTGACTGTTGTGGTTTTCTCTGTATTATTGTAGTGTCTTTACCTTACAGTATATAGCACCTCGAGGTGACTATTGTTGTGGTTTGGCGCAATGTATAAACAAAATGGAATTTAATTAAACTGAATATACTGCTAACAGAAGGAAACTTGTAACCAACATGTGAGGCACGCTCACCCAAATGACACCAAACACTACACTTCTCTCACTGTGGTTCCCAGCAATACATTCACTGAGTTTGAATTAGATTCACTGATTCTGCAGTAAAACACAACCTGTGGACTGTTCATATTCCTAAATTGTTGTTTAGATCATGTGCATCACTCATGTCTGTCATGATTATTAAGTGAATTAAACACAATCCAATACTGCTCATGTAAAGACAAATACACGTCTCCAAAAAGCTGACTCAACAGCAGGGATACAGTCCACTAGGCAGGAGTTTGGTTTTATTTTGTGCACCCTGACTCTTTAGACAGAAAAAAAATCTTTTATTCCTAATCCTAATCTTCTGTACTGTTTTGATTAATTAAAAGGTCCCCTTTAAACTGTTTAGCACTGTTTGCTTTCAGGCATTTTCACCTTATTAGCCTGCCTAATGAGTCTTTCTTTTCTCTCTCCCTTAGATTTCCCTGTTTTGCATCATCTACTGGTCTCCCAACTGTGAAGAAGCACACATTCTTTTTCTCCAAAAGAGACACTGAGCAGTGATGTACAGACGCCCGCATTCATTTTGATGTTGCAAAGAGGCAAAAAAAGAAAGAAGAAAAAAAATCAGAGGCATGGACAGATGGACACTTTCACTAGAACGATGCCATCTCTCGTTTTGTGAGATGGAAGCTGAGGCGTACAGTAAAAAGAAGTTCACGCAAACAAACCAAACAAACTGCTGCTTGGCACAAACTCCCACTCTGCGTGGGGCATTTTACACTTGTGCTTTCATGCTGCCACTGGCGTGCTGAAAACATATCACACTACCTGCATTTCTTTCCCCCCGTTCAGTCATGAAATGCTTGTTAAGACTTTATTGTTGTTTTTAAATATTAAGAGAAAAAGAAGAAAAAAATGTATAGCATGACAGATGCCCTGTTTAGATTGCTGGAGGTGGAACACGAGGATAGGTTAAAGTTTGACTGAACATAGATGATTTATAGAAGGTAGAATGAAGGAGCAAACACCCCCTCAGTCCTCTAATAAGCTCTTCTGTTTGTATCTTCTTTTGCGTCGTTTCAAGCTTGTGCGTCTAACAGCTGTGACACAGAAACAAACCAGGCAGTGACAGGGCACTGCCTGGTTTGTGAGGTTTTGATGGCCAACACAAGCTGAGTTGGAAGAGGTTGGAGGGGTAGATCTGTGCATGGCCAAGGAGTGGGATGGGGTGAAGGTGCCTTGAGGTCATGACCTTACATGTTTGCATGTGACGCTCGCTGAACCAACCCACTGTACACAGGGCTGGGCGGATTTTGGCAGGCTCGGAAGGAACGCCGTAACACTTCATGCTGTAAAAGACTGGCTTTGCTTCTGACAAAAGCAGCGGCTCGCTCGCCTGAGTCGTAGCTGAACCCTTTTTTGAGCATGTTCGTGGTGATTCACTAAGAAAACAAACAAAAGATAACAAAAAAACTGGCATGGACTCTCGTCACCTTAAACGCAAACTGAGAAGTTATCAGTTTCTTCTTAAACTTGCTGCAATGTAGTCTTAATTTATATGGCAATGAATACTCTTGTTATGTTAAGATGTTTTAATGGTATTTATTTTCTTCTCTGCCTGTGTTCATTACGTGAATGTATGTTTGGGTTATGTTGTGCATGGCCGGTTGTTGTGTTTTAATTTCATCGCAGTTGGGGCGGGCGGCTGTATTTTGGACAGTCCAGTTTTTTGCGTGAGGTACTTGGTTCTTTTAAGAGAAACCTCTCCCAGGGTTTCATGGATGCAAGAGGCAGAATGACTCACACTACAGATAATGTAAAGCAGTCATTAGCAAGACTATAGAGTCCCTTACACTATAGAAGACTGAACGGCTTTGAAAGAAATGTTGTTTTAATTCTCTTTAAGCTCTAATCTGGGTCCAAACTTGCCTTAAATCAGCCTAAATAGGAGACCAAATGAAGTGGGTTAGATGAACCATAAAACAGAAAAGGCTGGGAGATCGGTGCAGTATATGACCCAGTACCAACAAGGGAGAGTAACCCTCACATGGCTAAGATTGTGACAGCTGGACGACTGTCACATGTGCTAACTTGGCTTCTCATGAGTCTTTGTAATCATTAGGTTAAGAACTCCAGTAAGCTGTGCATTGTTAAGGGCAGACACCACAGTGCTTTTCACCATAGTGTCATTCATACACATTAAAAAAAAGAAGAAAAAAAAAGAGGTATCCGAAGACCAAAACATGTGTCATTAAACACTTTCATATGAAACACTTGGCAACATTAATCAGCGTTTTTCATCTGTGTGTCTGTCTGTGTGACCTGAACATTGGCGTTTTACATTTGAATATTAATGGTATCATTGAATTTCAATGTAAGAGGTAATGTTTTGGTGGAATATGTATGTAATTTTTTTTAAACTTCTATGTGCAGTCAAATTAAATCAACAGGGGATTAACAGCCCAGTAAATTCTGCTTCAGCGCCTCAAGCCACCCAAAAGTTCCCTTTTATTGGCAATTTCAGGACAAACCATTGTGGCTCCATAAGTTTGACCTCATCCAACCACGGAACACGGAGCCTCCGGCCCCGCCAATCAGACGGGAGTACTTCTTTCCCTGTAGAACACAAGTTTCCCTGGCAACAAGAGAGTAATGAATGCCCCTTCAATTTGCACCTAATTGCTGAGTGGCATTTCCCATTTCAGCTCTTTGCCCTCCTTTATCCTCTTGTTTTATCTGGAAATCCAGCCGGCTCAGAATCGGGCGCAGTATCTTGCTTTCATGTGTTGATGTAAATTAAGCCACCGTCGGTGTGCATCGGTACCTTTCGTCATGTAAGAGTTTTAATTTCTATTTTTATGGCATTATTTTGTACATGTGATTTTTTTCACAATGTGAAATTCATGGCTAAATAAACATGAGAGTTTTTTCCTCTTGACTGTAAAGTGTTGTGTCTTTCTTCTCAGTGCCAAAAACCATTTGTCCATTGGCTTGTTTTAACGCGGTGGTGGTGGTGTGTATTTTAAAGGGCGCAAGGCAGCTTCAGCACAGCATAGGAGACTTTCTGCACTGCTGCATGTTTCACATATTTCGGCAGCTTTGGGGTGAACGCAGCAGCCAGAGCGTCCTGAGGTATTTAAGGCAGTATATCATGCGTACGGCTTTTGTTCTGTGGAGGAGGGACTGAAATCATCTTATCTGTGCCCCTGGCTTCTGAGCTTCCTGCACAAGAACAGCCAGATACTTTCCCTTTCTCTGTCAAGTCACCTTGGCAACAGCAACCTTTTTTTTCCCTGCCAACTGTGGGGGCTGGAAGACATCATGAAATCTTAAAAAGCACCTCCCCAGCCCTGACTCCCCCTCTCACTTTTTACACCCCCTCCCCCTCCTCTATCTTCCAATGAAATGCATTGCAAAGCAGCACGCTAGTAGTGAAGTCCTTGCTGCTTTAGGACGTCCCCAGGTTTTAACAAGTAACAAGTTTTAACATCCCATCAGCCCGCGACCGCAGAGCGCACCGCCACCGGCTGAGTTCCTCCAGCTCCAGCTCTGCTGACTCTGTTTACATTCTTCGCCCTGACACAACTCCTGACCGGTGACATGTGGTTGAGAAACACCAGTTCTACTGGATCCCCGACCCTCATGCAAGCAAAAACACGCTGGAGGGGAGGGGATGGTGGCTTGAGAAATAAGCAAGTGTTTTTTCTGACTGTGTCAGCATGTGCTGAGATGTTGTGAAAAAACAAAAAAAGCTGTGAAAAATCGTACCGGCACCATTTTCACTTTTCTTACAAGAATGTTTTTCTCAAGCACTCTGAGATCCGGGGGAAAAAAACAACATCAAGCTGACACTGAAGGTTAAATGCGGGGGCTTTGTGTGTGGGAGGCCCCTCTGTGCCTCAACAGTCCCTTCATTAATCAAGACAGGAAGTTGGGCTTCCTGTCCGCCAGGATGTCGGCCTTACCCCCCACCTCCCTGCGCCTCCCAGACCATACCGAGGGTGGCTCGACCCTTTAACACTGTGAATCCTTTGGGTGCTGTAAGCTTATGCAGAACTTGGCTTGAACAGACTAAAAGTCTAGGATTTTGTGTGGGCAGTCTGTATGTGTGGCCGAGTGTGATAAAAACAATGTACCTACATGTCACCGTCGCCTGGCAACGCAGGCATTAGGCTTGACTCAGTAATGTGCACGCACGCACATGCGCACACAGACAAAAACATTTCAGATGTTTTTCCAGTAAAATATAAAAAGTGCACATTTGTTGTGTCTTTACCACCACTCTGTGTTTTGTAAATGTCAGCAGATGATCTGGAACATGAATGAAAGATGAATGAAAAAGTATCAAAGGTCTTATTGATTTATTTATACAAATTTTGAGATGGGGCACAAAAATGTTCCTGAACAATTAAATATAATTACGTGGCTATATGGTGTCATTGTATTTTATTCATTTTGCATTAGAAGGCCAAAACAAACAGTGCATAAGTCTCAGTGCTGGTTTGTCTGGGGTACTGAACTCCAAGATCTTTGGTTCCTATAGAAAATACAAATACCTATACAGATATTTAGTTTCATTTTATTTTTGGATTCTTCCATTTCTCAAAACTGATGGGCACTGTAGTTTTTAACTTTACTGCTACTCAAGCATGAGTCAGAGTGCATTTTATGTCGGTGACTTTTTACAGTTGTTTACGAGTACACATGTGATGCAGTGATGAGTATTTCCAGCAGTGGCACTGTGTATGTGAGATGGCCCCAGAATGAGGGCGAACATTTGGCAAATGATGTTTTTAATTGCCTTTGGAAACAATAAAGCTCCATGGTACAAAGAAATTACAACATACAATATCAGATTAGTACTATGCTCACAGTAGGGGGAAGGCTTCTGAGAGTTAAATGTGCATATTCTCTTCAACCTAAAGCCATAAATACAATATCAGGATGACATGCCACAGAGCGGCAGTGTCAGACATGAGGCCTAGGGGGCCAGTATCGACTCGGCAAAGACTCAATTAGCCCAGTGGATGGCTTTGGAAAATAGGAAGGATTTCTATACTACATGAAAGCAATAAATTGATCTAAAATTTATTATTAGCACAGAGGAAGCATACTAAAAAAGAGGACGTTTTCTGTAAATGAACGAAACCCTAATATTTGTTTGATTTTATAACTACAGGACACTCTGTGCTACCAGAACTTTGTGTGCAATTTTACACACATCATCATGTCATTTCACTGGTCAAGCCCACAGTACATTTGCATAATGGCTGAAACCAGCCCACTGAAGGAACAATGGGCTGGGAGGTCAGTTCCTTAATCTTAATTATGCAAATTCTCATGACCATTGATCAACACCACTGACCAAAATCCACTGATCAAAGCCCCCCCAAGGATCGGGTCCCCTGACACAAACAGAGTAACATAGTGTTTGCTGTCAAGTGCCAGGAGGATTGCCAGGATTTATACATCGGGGAAACCAAACAACCTCTGGCGAAGCGGATGGAACAACACAAAAGAGCTACCTCATCAGGCCAGGACTCTGCAGTCTATTTACACCTACAGGCCAGTGGATACTCTTTCAAGGATGAGGATGTGCACATCTTGGACATGGAGGAATGCTGGTTTGAGCGCGGAGTCAAGGAGGTGATTTATGTGAAAAGGGAAAGACCATCTCTGAATCGAGGAGGGGGCCTAAGGGTACATCTTTCGCCATCTTACAATGCTGTGATTGCAGCCATTGCCCAACTCTCTGTGAATGGTGCTCATGGCCATTGATCAGTGGGTTTTAGTCAGTGGTTGCTGATCAATGGTCATGAGAATTTGCATAATTAAGATTAAGGAACTGACCTCCCAGCCCATTGTTCCTTCAGTGGGCTGGTTTCAGCCATTATGCAAATGTACTGTTTATAAGATCGGGGAAACCTGCAGTCAGCTGAGACTGAAGAAGTCACTTGGATGAGTGACGAAACGTTTCTCCCACAAAACGCTACGTCCAGATGAACAGAATCAACTTTTGGAGACAGCTGTGCAGAGGTTCAGGTACATGGACACAAAGCTGGAAGCTTCTTTGGTTTTGCCCAACCACGAAATTTTCATGCCATTCAGGGTGGAGCTGGTTCAAACCACCCCAGACAGACACTGTGATCATGCCAGGAATGTTTTCGAAATGAGAGAGCCTTCCACTGGGCTGTGCTCGCTCTGACCTATGAGTTACATCAGCATTCAGGCAGGCAGCTGAAAACCAATCTGCCTCAGGCAAGGGTACTGTGTCAGGGGCCAGTGTGCCACTGTCACATGTCCCAAAATGAAGCTTATAGCAGAAAAAAAAATCCACATGATAAAGTTAATCTTTCACTTAAAAATTTAAAAAGTTTTCAAAGTACTCTCTACAATAACTTCATAGCACAAGTACACCAGGTTTCCCTTTGAAATATTATATTACATTTTCTAGATTGCTTGAAAATGCAATGGTGACATTGAAATGTTTTGGTATTTCTTTTGAACCTTGTTGTTTTCTGTGTCCTTCAGTGAAGTTTAATTTACTTTCAAAAGCCCTTCAGCAGATGCTGCTTATCTAGACCACAAAGCAGACTCAGGAGATAACATAACGGGCAGGAAAAAAAAGAAAAATGATAAACTGCTAAAGAAAAGGCCATGCAAGGCTCAGGTCACAGAAGACTTTCAAAACCTTCCTCTAACCTTTATCAAGGCTTCCTTTTAACTGCAGACAGGAATGTCTGCAGAGATGTTCTATGGTTTTGGCTTATTGCTGTTTGTCTCTACTAATTTAAATTTCCATTACATGTTTGTTTTTGCTTCTTTCTTTTTTTTAAACGAGTTTATTCCAGTTCATTTAAAACACCTTTGTTCGTTTTATTTATCCTCCACAGCACGGCTCTTGCATTGTTGTGAGAAAGCTGAATGAAAATGGATGGGCAGAAAATAAGTCTGAGGAAGTCTCTCCTAATCCACAATGACTCTGTTTCTTATTCTTTTATTTATCTTTGCCCTGTGCTTTTGTTTCTTGCTTGTGTCATTAATGTAGCCTCCCCCAAGGATAATCCCACTGACCCTGTCCTTCAAATTTTGTAGGTATCCCTGGAAAGACATCCTGCTGATTATGGTGCTTTGCAGCCACAAGCTAATTTACTGCTTTACATCACCTGAAGTGAGATGAGGACATTAAGAAAAGTGCTTTAATTAAAAGAACACAAGGGAG